CCTCTTATGCTACCAGCTGGAGAAAAAGCTCTGCTTTTAAGGGCTCATGTGTGTAGGTTAGGCCAACCTAGAGAATTCCTCAATATTTAGACTAACAGATAAGTAACCTTAATTACATCTGCAAAATCGCTTTTGTCATGCTACGTAACATCCTAAGAGAGTGAAATTGATGGAGACCGGTTTATAATTCTCCCAATGGTAGATGGAGAAAGTTGTGTCCCAGGATTACGATCCATGAGGCATTTTGGTCACTTCATCATGGAACTTACTTTCGCCTTGAGGACCTGCTTGATCTTCTACATACCACTTCCATTTAATAATGGGGTGCTTCTATGCATATCCATTGCTGTAACTTGGTGGGTCAGAAAGCACCTAGGATAAGACAGGCTTCTCTAAGTAGCATTATAATTTGGCATCCATGATCAAGGGTCACTAATAAATCAAATATGTTTCAAAAGGGTCAGAATGATGTTTGTGTCTTCAAGAAATTCGTGTCAATTCAGAAGTGGGGTGCTGTAATCATTGAGAAATCTAGTAATTTCTCTTTCCCATATACTTTAACCTTCCTTAGTGAAGGGCTATGGGCCTTCTTAGAGTAAGAATGTGAGAAAGGGTAATGGTATAAACTTTTTAAAATTATACTTGAAGTTCTGGGGTTCTTGTGCAGAGCGTGCAGGTTTGTTACATAGGTATACACATGCCATGGTGGTTTGCTGCATCCATCACCTGTCATCTACATTAGATATTTCTCCCAATGCTATCCTTCTCTTATGCCCCCACCCTCTGCCATCGCTCCCCTAGCCCCCTACCCCCTGATAGGCCCTGGTGTGTGATATTTCCCTCCCTGTGTCCATGTGTCCTCGTTGTTCAACACCCACTTATGAGTGAGAACATGCGGTGTTCGGTTTTCTGTTCTTGTGTCAGTTTGCTGGGAATGATGGTTTCCAATTTTATCCATGTCCCTGCAATGAACATGAACTCATCCTTTTTATGGATGCATAGTATTCCATGGTGTATATGTGCCACATTTTCTTTATCCAGTCTATCATTGATGGGCATTTGGGTTGGTTCCAAGTCTTTGCCATTGTGAACATTGCCACAATAAACATACATGTGCACGTGTTGCTATAATAGAAAGATTTATAAAACTTTTTGAGTCTAGAAAGCTCCCTCCTCAAGAGGCCTTGTGTTTTGTGTTTTTTTTTTTTTTTTGAGACGGAGTTTCGCTCTTGTTACCCAGGCTGGAGTGCATTGGTGCAATCTTGGCTCATTGCAACCTCCGCCTCCTGGGTTCAGGCAATTCTCCTGCCTCAGCCTCTTGAGTAGCTGGGATTACAGGCACGCGCCTCCATGCCCAGCTAATTTTTTGTATGTTTAGTAGAGACAGGGTTTCACCATGTTGACCTAGATGGTCTCGATCTCTTGACCTCGTGATCCACCTGCCTCAGCCTCCCAAAGTGCTGGGATTACAGGCTTGAGCCACCGCGCCCAGCCCAAGAGGCCTTGTCTTAATTCATGAGGTTTTAGGTCTATAAACTAGTCTAGTCTGCAAGTTGATTGAGGCACAACCCTTCAATCATCATGGGATTAAGGAGGGATATGTCTGAAATTCAGAAGATCCTACAGAGCACCTCTTAGTACTCCTGTGTCCAGCGATGAAAGTCAATGGAAACTACAACAGCCTAATTCAGTCAGGACTGCCTATGGCCATGAACCTCAAGAATGGAGGTTTGAGTCACCCCACTAGGAAAATGTCTGTCGCCAGGGAAGGTGCTTGCTGAGGAGAAAGGGAGTATGAAATGGGTAGTGGGAGGAGTGACTACATGACCACAGGCAGAAACAAGGTCTATCATAAGTCTTGTTTCTGTTTTTGTTTCAGAGTAAAGAGTATCTTTTCCTTATTAATATTAATTCATTTGCATTATATTAATATGTGTCATATATGCTTATTTTATATATGTGTGTGTATATGTATGTGTGTGTGTGTGTATATATATATATGCATATATATACTAAATAGTTTTGGTTTTGACCCACTTTCATCTCATCCCCTGATCTCCTAGCACAAGATGTGCTATTAAGTTAACTTTATTTTTCAGTATTTAAGGTACAGGACATTAAAGGCACAGTGTGAATTAGGTAGCAGAAATTTTAACAAGATTTAAGAATAATGTAGGACTTTAGCGTCCTACAGGTTGCAGGTGGGAGAGTTGTACCACGTTAGGGAGAATTGTGATTTGTTATTACCTCTATGTAGAGATTAAGAATGGCATAAGGAGATGTGCATGGATACCAAAGTGACAGGGGTATCACGTGCAATTTGTCAACTTGGCTAGGCAGAATTATATTAGCAACAATCCTCTTTCTGTGAAGCATCTGGTGTTCTCCGTTGAGGTTCTCTGAGCATTGTGCAGGGCAGTGGATGGGAAGCAGCAGCCCTTTGTAGCTCACACACATTGTTGCTACTCTCTTGATTCACCTTGTTTGTATGAAGCTGCAGCCAGACCTGCAATTTATCTTCCTCCTCATGGATGCTTTTTCACCTTCTCTATCTTCTGGGCCAGATGTATGTGTTTAGCTCTGTCACAAACAGCTCTTCCTGGCTTCTGCAGGACACCCTCGTCACCAAGATCAGAGGCAATAAAAGTGAACATGTATCTCCATCTGCCCTCATAATGTTCCAGATCATGTTTGTGGGTTTCAACCTGTTTGTTATGTCGCCATCCTCAGTAGAGATGACAAAAGCCTTATAGAGACGACGTTACCACCTTTCACAATTGCATAAGACCAATTCTTTTTAACAAATCAATCATCTGTGTATCTATCCACTGCCTTTATTAAACCTCATTGTATCACCTGCTTATAGAGTTGTGTAGTTTTACTTTATGCTGATAACTAGTACACACGGCCTGTCTTGAAATCCATTTTAAAAAATTTCGTTGCTGTTAAGGTCCATATTTCCTATTCAAGCATGAACAAATAGCACTGTTGACACTGAGTGCAGTTTTTAAGTCTAAATTATGTTCTTATCTTAATATTCTTAAATAAAATAGTACGATTTACTTTTCTATGGAGGAATAACAAAGCACAAGAAAGACAACTAAGCTGGGTGATGTGGTGGCTGATACTTGTAATCCCAGCACTTTGGGAGGCTGAGGCAGGAGGATTGCTCGAGCCCAGGAGTTAATTTAAACCGTTGTAAAACATGAAAGGAAAAAAACACACAATATTTTGCTCTTTTTATGCTTTAAGAGCATAGAATGGTCTGGGCGCAGTGGCTCACCCTTATAATCCCAGCACTTTGGGAGGCTGAGATGGGCGGATCACTTGAGGCCAGGTTTCGAGACCAGCCTGGCCAACATGGAAAAACCCCATTTCTACTAAAAATACAAAAATTAGCAGCATGATGGTACACACCTGTAATCCAAGCTGCTTGTGACGCTGAGGCACGAGGATTGCTTGATCCGGGTGGAGGCAGAGGCTGCAGTGACTTGAGATCATGCTACCACACTCTAACCTGGGCAACAAGCACAACTCTGTCTCAAAAAATAAAAAAGCATACAACTGTGCAAGTCATAATCTAGAG